GCGCAGCACTTGGTGGACCTTGAAGTGCAGGTTTTGTGGCGGGTGCAATGCTGAAGTCTAAATTGCGTGGCAGGCGCAAAACTTTTGTGGGAGGAGCAGATTGTGCCCTCGTATGTGCCACCTCTAGACCTCCAAAACTCGGGACAAAGCAGCCACTGGTTTGTCAACCACCGCCACCGCCACCGCCACCGCCACTGCCACCACACTGTTTGGGGTCTTTTTTAAGTTGACAAATTAAGATAGAACAGTTACAACAATTTTCTCTGAAACACTCTGATCGAAGCATTTCTGTCGAAGTAACTGTCGAGATTGGGCGTTTTGGGTCCATTCCCTTTGAGCATCCTTTTTTACCGGTAATTTTCCGTGAAAATGTCGAGAAAACCATCTCTAGGTCCACTTTTTCGCATGGCGACCCAGTTCACAGTGCCTTGGGATTGCCTGAGATGAAGCTTCGAAAACAACTTCAATTTGAAGACGAGCTTCACCAGCCTGGTGCTGAACTTGTGTTTTGTCTTGAGGTGATGAGCCATTTGACCAAATGGCAATTTAAGCTGCTGGGATGCAAAATTGGCGATCGGGCACCTTGGCCAGAGCGTTCTTCTTGAGATTTAGTTCACTTTTAAGCCCTGGTCCGACAGATTGATTCCAAGGCATATTTCTGTGCACCCTTCATCCGCGATCCAGAACTGGTGGAAATTGGCGACAACTGTATCGTTGCAGGCGGACCAGAGATTGCTGTAGCTTCGCAGTGGTTGCAGGACTTACCTCGTAGCTTTGATCTCTGATTGCTTTTGATGCAAGGCAACGTTGCTATGCTTACCACAAGCTTAGACGAGCCCTATGCCAACCCCATAAGGCTCAAGAACAAAGCAATTGCCTCTTGGCTTGAAGCTACACTGCAGTGACGAAACAGAACTTGGTTGATTGTGAGGTGGCGAACACAGTGGTTCTGCATTGCGGTTGCGATGTGCTGGAGGCTGTGGTCAGCCAGTGAAAAGCTTTCTTCTAGCTTATAACAAATGGTCGAAGAATGCCTGCACGCCTCTATCGCAAACACCATGCCACTAGATTCAGATTCATTTCATGCCACTCAAGCATTGAATTCCAGGAAAGTATTGTGGGCGATGGTGTCAGCATGCCGCCTGACAAGGTGTCTCAGATCTTGGAACAATGAAAGTTGACTAGGTTGGAGGCCGTCGCTGATAGGTTGGAGGCCAACACTATTGGGGGGAGACGCGATTAGGTTGGAGGCCATCGCTAGTCAGTTGGAGGCCATCGCTACTAGGTTGGATCTCTTCTAGGTTGGAGGCCATCGCTAGTAGTTAGCACAGTGCGATCCAGCGGATCCAGCTGATCGTCCAGGTGCTTACGGAATGCATGGTTGCGGTCCGCGACAACTCAGATACGTTGCCCTATATCATGATGAAACGGCAGTAGCTTAGCCTGTTTAGTCAACTGCGAATGAACTTGAACAGTTAGTTTCTATTTTTGATCTTTCTTTGATTGAAAGCCATCGCTTCTAGGTTGGAGGCCATCGCTAGTAGGTTGGAGGCCATCGCTTCTAGGTTGGAGGCCATCGCTAGTAGGTTGGAGGCCATCACTTCTAGGTTGGAGGCCATCGCTAGTAGGTTGGAGGCCATCGCTATTAGGTTCGAGGCCATCGCTAGTAGGTTGGATCGCTTCTGGGTTGGAGGCCATCGTTAGTAGGTTGGAGGCCATCCCTACTAAGTCATTATTTATGATCTGTTATTGATTTAGGAAAGGATATAGATTTTTTGCCTACAGATTCTGCTGGGCTTTTTTCGTCAGCTAATCTCAGGAGCATCTCGCAAGTGTCCCCTGCCACAACGTGCAGCTATACATACTATCAGGCTGTATTGCATGGACATGGATGGAAGTCGGTTCACGTTGATTTAAAAGAGAGCACCTAGTAGCATCCTTGCTCCTAGTAGCGATGCCAGGACCCCTAGTAGCGTCCTTGCTCCTAGTAGCACCACTTTTGGTCAGTGTAAATAAACGGCATCTGCTCTCTGCTTATCTCTAATTTATCGAGGATGCTACTAGGGGCTCCTGGCCTTACTACTAGGAGCAAAGGATGCTACGAACGGGGCTCCATTCATTTCTCAAAACTGCAGGTTTTGCTGATCTTATTGCAGCTGGTCCTGGTTGTAGGCACTCATATTCCAGGACTCACTGTCAGCTGAATTTCACCCATGTTTTTTAGATATGGAACACCTTCCTCCTTGTTTTGCAGACCTGCAGGATACCTCGCAGCAGGATTGCTGCTGAATAGTGTGGAAGGAGCTCTCCCAAGCGAAGTTGGCACCTGGCCCTTCCTTCCCGTCATGTTTCTCTTGACCATGACGCCACTTTGCAAAGGCATTGGCACTATGTGCTCCCAGACTCCCAGCCCCACAAAACCTCAAACTTTGTGAAGGGTAGGCAACTTCTTTATTGACCAGTGCATGGGTCTAGACCCCCCTGTGCGTTCACTCGAAGCAACGGTGCATTCTAGGTCCAAGATTTTGCTGATACCGGTCTTCAAGTGGGCCGTGGCATGCAAGTTCAGCCCAAGAGCCTTGGCAAATGTCCGCAGAGTGGACAGATTGTCACATGTCAGCGCTGCTCAAGGCGTGATCTGGTGGATCATCCACAAGTCAGATTGGATTCATTGTTGATTGAGTAGACGGGCTACTGTAGCCCTGCAATTCTTTGACCCTTCACTTGATTCAGCTTCATCTGAGGAGAGATACACCTCTTCGGTTTTCGCTACGTCATATGGATCGCCTTGGAGGCGGTGCTCTTCGATGCCGATCAACTCTTCCTACAGAGCTTGTAGCTCGTCCTCGAAGACTTCGAAGCATGGAGTCCCTAGGCCACCTGCGCTATCGATCGCCATCGCCCATCTCAGGTGCGGCACTAGCTTCATCTCTGCTTGGTATTGGCTCATGGGAGCAAAGATTGGCCGAAATGTTTGCATCATGGGGCAATCAGTTGGATGCAGCTTGGCAGACGACATCAGCAACGCCCCGTCTTTTTTTCCATGAATTAGTTGGATGCCTTCACTTTCTCCATTTTGTCAGGTGAGTATGACCTCAAGCACCTCGCAAGTGGCACCGTAGTAAACCACGCCTCCTTGCTGTTCTCTCATTCCGTCGAGAGAGGTGGGCTTTGCCGTGTTAACAACAGATACAATTCCATACTAGTGATGGCCTCCAACCTAAATAGCAATGGCCTGCAACCTACTAGCGATGGCCTCCAACCTAATAGCGATGGCATGAGTGAAGAGTTCGGTGGGGGAAGCGGGTGATGAAGAGTTTGGTGATGTTTGGTGGAAGCATGGCAGTAGTTGAGTTTTCCCTTTGTGCATCTTATATTAACTATACTATTGTCACGCTGCCCCAACTCGTGTCATGGTACGGTTGATGCCATTCATGCGGTTCAGGGTTGCTGCACTTGTTGCAACGCAACACTGCTGCTGCTTGCTGCTGCCTTTGCTGCTGCTGCTTTGCTGCTGCTTTGCTGCTGCTGCTGCTTTGCTGCTGCTGCTTTGCTGCTGCTTTGCTGCTGCTTTGCTGCTGCTTTGCTGCTACTTTGCTGCTGCTGCTGCTGCTGCTGCTTTGCTGCTGCTGCTGCTGCTGCTTTGCTGCTGCTTTGCTGCTGCTTTGCTGCTGCTTTGC